CACACACACTCCTCACTCCCCCCCCCCCCGGCCTGTCCTGCACCTACGTTTTAGGGTCGGTGGTGTGGTAGAAGAACGGGTGCTGTCCTATATACAAGTCCATGCACTGCGAGAAGCCTTTGGAATGGCTGAGTGTGCTGGCACACGCTTTCATCCCCTCGACGTTACCCTCGTTGTATGCCTTGCTGAACCGGTGCAGCAGCGTCTGCTCTAATTCGTTGCATTTGCTGACGATCCGCTGTTTGGTCAGGACGAATCTGTGCACAACACATTGTGTGTTGGTGTGTACAGTTAACATGTGAACACATTGTGTGTTGGTGTATACAGGTGATCTGTGAACACATAGTGCATCATAGCTTACGGAGGATATGTGGCCACGTGGCAAGTGTGTGTGTAACCATACAGTAACCCGCTAAGAAAAGCGTAATGAACGTCAAGAAACCACTACATAATAAACGCAGATGCGACCACTCATTCATTAATCTTGATAAGTATATACTACCTATGCTATACCTACTTGTCTTTATAAGTATCTGACACTATACCTACCTATCTTGTTAAGTATCTCCTACCTATGCTATACCTACCTATCCTAACAAGCATCTACTACCTATACCATACCTACCCATCTTTACAAGTATCTCCCACCTACGCTACACCCACCTGTCTTCCGTGAGTTCGCTCGCCATGACATTGAGCTTGTGCAGGATGCGTGCTGATTGGTGCACTCGGTCGGAATCGCTGAACATGTCGTCCAGTTGCGGCGTCTGTCCCTTTGGACAGTCGAACGCTTTAAAGTGCGTCATGATATCCCGCGCCTCAGCCGCGCGCGAACGGCGTGTGTGTAGCGTGTCTAGCTGATCACCTGCGCAGAGAAGGAGTGATTGGGTAGGGTTATCCCATGTGTGTAGTGTACCTAAGTGATGGATTGTTTATGGAGCTGGGTTGTAAGTTTTTATCGTTCTCAACCATCCATATACCGACTGTCACGCACACCCTACGTAGCACATCTCCCCCACGCACCCTACATAGCACATCTAACCCACACACCCTACATAGCACATCTCCCACACACACCCTACATAGCACATCTCCCACACACACCCTACATAGCACATCTAACCCACACACCCTACATAGCACATCTCCCACACACACCCACGACAGCCGTCTTGGACGAGACCAGCTTGACTCTGCGGTCGATGGCCTCGAAGTTTGTGTTGCTGAGCTGCATCTGCTGGTTGAGTAGTGACAGCACTTCACTGTGTTCCGAACTTTCATACCCCTTCACCTCCTCCTCCAGGTTCTCCAACTGCTGCTCTGTAGGTACACAGTGCGTCGATTGTTATTGGATGTGCTGGTGTTCTATTAATAGACAGTGGAGAACGCATACTCTATACTGCTATGTAGGTACATAGCCAAACGATTGTTATTGGATGTACTGGTGTTCTATTGATAGACAGTAGGTAACGCATACTCTATACTGCTCTGTAGGTACATAGCCAAACGATTGTTGTTGGATGTGCTGGTGTTCTGTACTACATATTGCTCTGTGAGTACATAGTCAATCGATAGTCTGAATGATCACACAAAACTCATCACACACATCACAAAACACGAACGAAGCAGCTAGTGACACTCTGACCCAATTGCCATACAAAACTGAACTGCAGAGACGACCTCGTGGCTTTCGCTTATGGCAATTCTAAGATACAGCGAAACCTCGAAGCGCACAACGAAACCCATAAAAATACAAATGCGCGTGCCCTGTCCCGAAAATTTGAGGTCAGGGTTTGGAGTTCAAGGTTTAGGGCACTTACGGACAATGGCGTCTAGGCGAATCAGATCTGCAATACTCTGCTGAATGGCCTCGATGAACGGCTGCTCATTGAACCCTACGAAAGCCATGGGGCGGGGTGTGAGGGGTGTGAGGGGGTAGATAACAAGGGACGTGTTTTTAATAGCAAGTGGTGAGTGCGTGTTTGATAACACATGGTGAATAAATATGTATACATTA